ACCGAATTTCTTCAAAATCCGTTCAGTAGTTTTTGTATGCCCCAGCCTTACCGGTGAGTATACTATGAGTAATAGTAGTAGTATTTATATTAAATTTTTATTATTATTTCATTATTCAACATCAATTGAATATTAATGATTTTGATTTATATTAAAGTCAACTCTTATAACAACATTAATTGAATGTTTTGCGTCTGTCGTCCTTAGTCGTGACTGCGAACACCCATAGCAATTATTAAAACAATATACCAATTATCTATGGGAAACAATTGTCCTCGTCGCACCATGATACATATATAAATATAGAACCTCGATTCAATTAATAATTGATAATATAAAGCAATTTGACAGGTCACTGTCGTTGATCATTTATTAATATTGTTATTTTCCATTTGCTTCGTTTTGAAAAAGTTTTAATAGTATAATAGTATGGTTCTAGACAATAACGTCATTAGCTGAGAAGATACCTGATTGGCCTTCATTCACACATTGATTTTAAATTGTACTTGTTTTATTAATTTGATTATTATATTTTTGTGTGTCAATGTCAATAAAATATTTTCTATTTCATTATGTTATCTATACAAATATTATAAAGAGGAAGGATTTCATTGTTTGTTTGCGTTGAATAGGTTTTTAATTTGAATAGGCTTGCATTTAATGGGATTTTGATAATTCTTTGACCTACGCGTAGCTACATCATACGCGGATGACATATACATTTACACGGGCATAATCGCGGGAAGCAGCTAGTATTTTATAAATTAGTTATTGGCCCTATCAATACCCTTAAATATATGATTGCACAATTGTCCATGAAGGTTTAATATTATATATTAAGCATAGAGTAATTAAGAAACTACAGTTTTAGTTTAATGAAGACCTTAAACTCTAATTGATGTTAAAATTTGTATCGTTGTTTCAATGAAACGTGGCGCCCTAGACAAAACATTGGAAGTTGGCGTCCTAGACAAAACATTGGAACTTGGCGCCCTAGACAAGACACTGGAACTAAGCGCCCTAGGCAAAACACTGGAACTTGGCGCTCTAGACAAAACACTAGAACTTGGCGCCCTAGGGCAAAATATAGGAACGACGCTCATAAAAAATTACAACAAAATAAAAGAAAGTTTAATGTAGGTATACCGATTTAAGTGTGTAATTTTGCTTATGGGTATGAAACTGCGTGCGTAGACAGCTGCCTATAGCATACCTATAGGGACAGGCCGACCCTATGTATCAGTAATGACAATTTTAAAGAACGTTTGTGCAACCGATGGTTATTTAATTTTTAATTAGAACTTATTTCGATGTTTTTGTTTGTACAAAACCAATTAAGGGAGCCAATTTTGATGTGCTCTAAAAATTTTGAGCTTATACCAACAAAAAATATTTTTATTAAAACTATTTAAGAAAATTCCCAAATACCTGCTATCCCGAAATGAGACTCCAACCGATAACCTTTACCAATCCAGGCGACTACTGTAACAATTGAGCTAACCGAGAGCTAATAGACAAGACCACAGAAAATTATTAAAGCGAGGTTTTACGAAATCATCAATTTTAAGGCTATGCTATATTTGCAAAATAAATATGATTTCATAAAAATTAAACATGGTCGATGTTTGCAAAAAAACAAAGACTTTAATTGCAATTACTGTCTCGATAGAAAAAAAAATGCAAATAATACTCTAAATAGGTGTTTTAATCGATTTTACGATAAATATATTTCATATTAACTATTTAAAAAATAGGTTTTGATATAATCTTAAATTATCAAAAGATTTTTTTTATCTGCTTATGTTTTTTTCTATGATTAAAAATGTTTGAAAATAAGCGCGCGCGTCTTTACTCTCGATGCATATTTGATGGTATTTGTATGGGAAAGTAAGCGTAGGTAAAATATGTACTTAACAGGACAGACGAATTTCTTGAGTTTATTACTTTCGCTAATAAACACGTGCATCAATGTCCAGGCAATCCATCCAAATTGCCGAAAAATTTTTTTTTTGTGATTTGTAGGTTTTGACATCGAGTCCCATCACTAGGTATAAGATATTTATCCATAAAGCATTGTGAATTCAAAATTGACAAATAAAATAATTAGAACAGTGTATACTTTCATATTGTTTTCATGATGGTATATAAAATAAATAGCACTCGGTCTTGAATTGGTCCAATTCGGTCAATCACTACCAATTGCTTTCAATTCGAAGTTTTGTTTATTCTAATTCGTCACGGGACCAATCAATAAGAGTGGTGGACACTTTTCTTTTGTTGCAGGACAAAATGTAGGGACTCCATGGTGTGGGGCAGTGGCTCCCAACCTTTTTATTATTATAAAACCTATGATTTATTACGAAAACTGATGCCTGGAATGCTTGTAATAGAAAACAGTACAAGATAATAATATCTTTATTAACAAAAGTGATGGTTATTATTGTTTAGTCACTGGCGTTATTATAATAGTCTAAGAAGTCATGTCAAATATGTGCGAGAGCTTTCTAAAGCATGATATTTCTGTATTTTGAAGTCAAAAATACACTTAGACACATATCTATAGTCCGGTAAGTAATTACTTAAGCAAATATTTTTATTAGAGAAATAGAACAGATTTCAAACGAACAGAAAATATTAAATAATAATAACAATACATATCTCAAAAGCGACTTATTCAAGAAAATTATATTAAAGTCAAACGGAGGTTTTTTGTGGGTTATTAATTAAATAAAAGGCGCATAAGTCTGTTCAGCCAAACGCGAGATAATCGCGTACAAAGATACATACAGGTCAAACTGAGAACCTCCTTTTTGAAGTCGGTTAATAAGAATTCGAAAGCAGCGAGAACTATTAATAGTTAATATTAAGAATACTATTATGATTAGCTTTTAATAGTTCTTATTTCATTAAAATTTTCGTCTATTGGTTAAAAATATCCTACTATATCCTGTAGTGTCGCTCACTTTTGCATGTCTTTCCCCTGTCATTGCGTAGATCAATCACACCTCATAACATTGCTTAAGGAAAGATAACATCATAACTAGTCCGGAACTATTGAGCAAAATTCAGATCAAAGTCCCTAACTGAAATTTTCGGCATAAAAATATTTTGCTTCGCACTCTCTTTGTAGTACAAAATTAAGAAAGAGTAAAATATGAATTAGTAATAAGATTAACGAACTTAATACAAAGTTCAATGGTGATAGTCGATTGCGTCTTTTCAATTGCACGACAAGACATTAAAAATGAGTTCCATCCTTGAGGGTCATCGCTGAACATGTTTCAGCATATTGTGAAAATGTAGAAGTGTGTTTACAGTGGACAATTATATCTGGATACAGATGCTAAAAGCTTTTGTGAATTTCACTTACGCAATTCTAATTTCAACAGATCGTTTGTATATATACGGAAGTTTGTAATTAGCTTATCAGTTTTATTGATGTTATCATATTGTGAATAATGATAAGCTCCCCAAAAATAATGAAATTAAAATTATGATTTTACTTTTGTGTAATTATTTCTGTCGACTATAGATACGATCGTTAGTACCGAATACTGTCGTCGTTGCTTGGTACATGTCGTATCCTATGGCTAGATTCATGGTTAAAGAGTTAGGCCGCACCCCTGTAATTATCTAAGCTTTCTTATACCTGGATAAAGCTATATAGTGTCCAGGTAATCAGGATACCTTTTTAACGGAGGGGAAAGTAACGTTAAGCCTTAAACCAGGGCTCTCCGACCCCGTACCTGTCCTGATAAGGACAGGCTTAAGTTAGACCGCCCTATCTCATAAAACCCGCTGCGAGTTTCCTCCATGGGGGGGGACCCGGGATCCCGCAGGATACCTGCTAAAGGGACACATATAACCCAACACGTGATCCCAGTATGGATTGGTGCTGACCACTTCTAATGCATCTGGGATCAACTTAACTGCCTTTCAAAGCACGGAGAAGCTACAGAAAATATAAATTTGATCAATCATTCTATGAGCGGCCCTTGCGCAAATTTCTTAACCCCTTTTTCGCCGAATGAGCTGATCTTTACATTATAATGCATATGTGAACATTATAATCGAGCTTTATGTTACTTAAACCCATTCCAAGTAATGATTTATAAATCTCCACCTTCCGAATACGTAAAAATGAAAAATATTAACGTTTTTTGGCATTTCATCAAAGATTAAACATATTGTTGTTTTTAATAAAAAATATATAAAAAATATTGCATCAAACACAGCGCTGTCGCAGCATTAGATGTTGAATCACATAGCGCCTTCTTCAAAGCAAAAGGTTTTAACAGAATAGCAAAACTGAACCAATTTTAGAAATTCTGCATATAAAGCTATCCGCAACTAATGTGGGATATACTTTGTTTACTTTTAGTAAAGTTTTTTATTTATGAAAAATTCACTTAAGGAAAGATTTTTTTTTTGTTATATACACAGAATAAAAAGATTCCTTATTGAGGTTTACTTCAAAAAAGTTTTCATAATATAAGAACGGTTTGGTTGTATTTTTGAATATAAAAAACATAAACACCTCCCTTTTACGTTGGGCTCTAAAAAGTTTATTTAAAATCGATATCGGCTTCAATAAACTTTTTGCTGTTTTCAAAGAAAATCACTTAACGTTGTAACATTAACATAGCAACAAAGTTAATTTTGAATTCTGTGAATTTACATAAAAATTTACATTCCACCTACTTCTTTCAATACTTTCCACTTTCTTATATTAAAATTCATTAAACTCACAACAATATCTCTAGATTTTTTATAATAAATATAACATGTAATTAATTTTACTGTTCTATATCAAAAAGTTTAAAAACATTCCTTTTTATAAAAAGTTTTTTTTTATATTAATTCCATTGTAACGTGCTTACATTACGCATTAATTTTTAGAAGTCAAAAGTCATCTGTCCATTCCGAATATGAACTAATAAAAAAACTGATAAACAACGTAAATCGTTAATTACACTAATGTATTTGAAATATTAACTCACCGCTGCCTCCACCGTGTCTGAGCAGTGTCGCCAACAAACCGGTTACGATCATCCACTTCATCGCACTTAACCCTCTATGCACTATTTTCACTACTCGCGGGGTCCGTGCGTCCACCCTCCGCAATAGTCAAGCCGCGACTGACAACTTCGCTTATAATTGTCCTCACAGTATAATGAACATGATAATGTCTGCGCAGGAGAACAAACATGATTTTTCCGTTGCTTATAAGCGATCTCTTTAACCCTTCAGATGTTCTCCTTTGGTATAAAGTTCATTTTCCTGTATTCCTCATTTTCGATGATATAATTTATGTATGTTTTAACTTAAAGCTTAATTTTAATTATAGAGATTATGTATATATTTTTTAAGAATACGCACTTCGCGTAATTGAGAAGATTTTCACATTATTCAATAATATGCAATTCTTATTGGTATTATAATCCAAGCTTGCATAGCGTTAATTATTTTTGTTTGATTTTTGAACTAAAAGCTATTACGTTGTTTATACGAGATGTAATAATAAAGCTCTTTTTTAAAAATAAACTCTGATTTTACCTACTACATACCTTTCTGTAGGGTTTCCAAATGCTTTGCTTTATACATTTATTTTTAGAAGTTACTAAGTTACGAAGGCAAGCTAACCATAATTTTATTTTATTTTACAAAAAAGAAACATATAAGTAAAGCTTAAAACTTTGTATTTACAAACCTACCACTTTATAATCTACAAAATTTTGCCTTTTAATAATAGTTATTAAGTATCTTTAATTATTAATGCAAGACTTACCAGTCCCAGGCACCCCGAGATGGGACTCGAATCCACAACACTTCGCAATCCGAGCGATTGCTCTAACCTACCCAAAACCCAACAGGACTACATGAATACCTCAAGCGCTTAAAATTTTCGCAATTAGTGAGCGTATTTTTAGCAATGTTCAGGGAATCCACCCAAACAACCGAGTGAAATATTTTAAACTCTAAAATTTGTTCTTAGTCGAAAAGAATGGAGTAAGAATTAAATGATATTTACATATTACACATTTCTAAGCGATGACAGGGTAAAATCTCGTAAATTTATAATAAATATTAAACAACATCACATACATTTCTCTAATTCCAAGATGAGCAGCTAAAGCTCTCGTATCTCCATGGAGTATCCGAGACAACGAAGGTACAACAGCACCCAGACTCGAGACTATATAGAAAAGTCTATTTTCTACTTTGACCCGACAGGAAATCGAACACAGGACGTTGAACGTTTTATTTATTGCACCGATAAATATGGTTTATATACCCTTATATCTATATATAGGTATTTAATCAAATATTTTAGTTTAATTCAGTGTTCGAAATAGGTTTGTTTGTCTAATTTTTATTTTATTTAGGAAACTACAACAACTATAAGCATCAATTAAATATGTAAAAAAAGGACATAATAAATAAAATAATATAAATATATCTAGACATAGTATAATAAAAATTCGCTTTCCGCTTCACGCTTAGATTTTTACAATTACACAACGGATCTTAACGTGATTTTCATTAATATGCAGAGTGATTAAAGGGGAAGATTTATATGTATGATACAATGAAGAAGTATTAAAAAAATAAAAGAAAGACTTAATCCATTAGATGACGACTCTAGCAAAAGTTTATTTTTGTAGGAAACGAATGGACCAAAGATAGTAATTCCCGTTCCTTTTAAGTAACATATTAAATAACTGAAATTTGCAAAGTTCGAAACTTAAATATCAATACAAATACTGAAAAAGCAAAAATAGAATATGAATTGTTTATTGAATTTTGTAAAATGATTTACTTAACTAAATTGCAGAAAACCGGAAGATTTGTCATGGAGTAATCAAGAAAGTACCGTAGCGACATCTAGTTTGATTTCGGGAACTAATGTTTTTTTTAATACTTTCTCATTGATACAGGGCTTTCTTCTTCTTTATATGCCATATCCTAACGTAGTGACGGTGATGGCGACCATCTGTGCAAAATGCGCTCTATCCTTTGCCATCATAGTCGAGAGGCTGTGTCCGTTTTTTATATTGTCAAGCCTTCCCTATTCCCTATATCCCGTTAATCATCCTTCAATTCACAATTGTAAAATATTATATTTATAATTTCTGTAAATATGTCCTAAATATGTGATCTTTCTTTTCTTTACTATTAGTACTTCCGTTCACTTCTTCATTCTTTTGAGAACTTCTACATTATGTACTAATTTTATCTGTCCAGATCCAGGGTATTTTCAATATACTCGTATACAGTCACATTGTAAATGCATATATTTTTTTAAATAATTTTAAATAATATTTTTTTAATAATTCATAATACAGGACCATGCAGGCATAGTCGCTGCCGGAAAGCTAGTATTGTTTTAAAACAAACCAAAGTTCGTACCGACGTACTTTTTTGTATTTTTGCTGATAACAAGAGATACCTATGCTAATATTATAAAGAGGGAAAAATTTGATTGTTTTCTGCTTTGAATAATTTTTAAGCCTATAGGTTTAATTAACACGGGCGGTCTCAGGAACACAATTATTAAGAAATATTTTATTCTTCGTGTCATTTTAAAATTAGAATTTCATTTGTATTTAATCTCGCCATCACGTGACTCTTTTACGAAACAGATAAAAGAACATTTCCTCAAGCTGGATTTTTCCTCCTAAATTATATTGTCTTCTTTTTTATATGAGGTATGTAATATATATGTAAGTGTGTATTTCTGTTTTACCCACTACTCACTCGTTTCTTTCATTGGTATAATTTCCTTTCGTCAAGGGTAGCCTGGAAGAAATTGCTACCTTAGCAATAAGGCCGCCTTTTGTGTTTGGTTTTGATTGTAAATGTTTTGTATAACTGTATTTGTACGCAATAAAGGGTATTTATTCATTCATTGATTATTATCTTATTGATATTTTTGGAAAAGATCGTCTAAACGCCATTTTATTTTATAAATAAAGAAAATCTACATAATAATATATCAAAGTAGAATCACAGGTAGAACCATGTATAAGACCAGTGGTTTGAAGAAAATGAGCTATTCAGTGGGAGTAACAGGATTAATTAAGACCAAATTTAATATAGGAACAATGAAACCGTTTCATTTGGAAAATAAGATGTACGTATAGACAAGCGCATTTTTAGTTATACATATTGTGTTCTTTCTCGTCTCGGTCGTCGTCAACACGTAATATCCTTTGGAGTGGTAGCTCACCTCACGACGTTTCTTCTTTACGAGTAAAATTATATCTCGGTACATTATAGTTACTTTGCGTACCACTAAAACATCATTCAAATCACCTAACAATGATTTCATAGATCTTTGAATTATTCGCAAAATATTTTATATTGATATTAAGGAAATTATAATTTTAAAAAGATAGAAAATCTGGTAAAGCCAGGTAGGTAGGATTCATGCTTAGCTCAACTCCTTTGTTATATTAAAAAAAAAAAGAAAGCAAAACTGGCCTTAGCAACAAGACTGACCACTGGTTTAAAAAAGATAAAATAACTGGAATTCGAATGTTCTATATTTAAAACATAAAGAGACTGAGAGTCGGTCGTAAAAAGCGTTTTATGTTAGAGGCGGGCGAATCTTCTGAGGTAATCGGCGAATGCTTTTTTAGAACTATTTCGAATTAGAATTCAAATATTCCAAGGGGTATTTTATGCCAAACAAAGTATGTATAATGAGATTTTTTCAGATAAAGAAAAGTTAAATTTAATAAAAGCTTTTTTATTAAAACACAAGAACGTAATATGTTTTAACCTATCCCATCGGCCATGTTAAAAAAAAAATATTACAGTAAAGGATATACGCACATATTTTGTTAGATGTCATATTTAAATATCTATAAAATTCTTAGGCCTTTTCCATTATAACTCAATTCATATTTCAAAAGATATTTGGGATAACTTGCATTAATTAAATAAAATATGTTGCTTTTTTTAAAGACTTTTTAAAAATAAAATAATTCCAATGAGTAGGTTAGCTAATTGCTGTTTCAATTCAATATTGAAAGTGAAATTCCAGAAAAATAAACACAGAAAGCTATTAATAAACATAAGTTAGCCAAAATGTTTTTCCAAAACCAAGACCCATTAACAAGTGTACAACTACACATCAAACACTTGTTAGCCGCAAAAATATATCATTTAATATTATTATTTAATTTATATTTCACTTATTCTTTAATTATTTCATTGCTACAACAAATTTGATATAGGTAGTATCAGTGGCGGACTAGGGGGGGGGTCCGCCCCGGGCCTCTTATCCTGGGGGACCTCCAAATGGCTGCAAGTTCCCTTGATCAAATCATAAATTGGGGTTGTACTGTCTTATTTTTGTTAGTTTCGTAGTTTTAGCAGGCGTCTTAGCAGGGGAGGCGATGTAAACACTAAATCAAGTTTCTGCACCAGTTGTAAAAAGTTGTAGGTACGGACCTAATGCCGCCCCGGGCCCCCGACAGGGTTAGTCCGCCACTGGGTAGTATACACTAGGAAATAAGTTTCTCACACATATCATAATCAAACAAAATGCGTCTTGTTATGTGTGGGAGCTTTTAATATCCCACTATAACTTTTGAAATACTTAACAGATATTAATGTTTAGGGTATCATTAAAAATGTGACACATCCTGAGTGTCACTGGCTAAATATTTATAATAAACACTAACAAACCGCACTCTTCTCTTCGCCTTCGCACGAGTATTTAAGTAGATATATAAAAGAAGAATATTGCAGCAAGCGTTGTTTTCGTTGAATTGGTTTAATTTTTTCCGACACTGCCACCAAATATCGTTTAATTTAAGCCGATGTACTTAAATAAAAAATAACAAACTATACCTATACTTAAACGTTCAAGAATCACTCTATCTATTGGTGAAAACCGCATGAAAATCCTTAAAGTAGTTTTTGATTTCATCGCGAACAGACAGACAGATAATTCATTACATGAAATATACCAAATCAAGTAGCTAACTGTTTAATGAAATAACTTATTTTACAAAATCACAATAAAAATTACTCAAACGAAATTATCTCAA